GCTTCAAAGCTTGCATGGTTAGCGAGTTGAAATACCCGGACGGACGAACACACACACACACACACAGACACACAAACATACACACACACAGACAGGGTTGTTGCAATATGCGTTTTTGCTGCCTGTTGCAGCGCTCTAGCGCTGCACGGCAAAAACGCATAAAAAACACTTAATTTGATGGGCAAAATACTTTATCCATTTAATCAGAAACTCCCACATCAACACAGATTTATTCTCCACATAATATTGCATAGCAGAAGTACGCATGGAATTTTTCATAAAAATTTGAGCATGTGCAAAAAAGAGGCAAAAAGTTTCTGGAGAAATCTGAATATATGCAATACCGGAGTACTTTATAAAAGCTGCTTTGCACACGTAAAAAGTCATTGTTATTTGTATTGATGAAAGAAAGTGGTCCAAAGAGGTAGCATGAGTAAAACGGCACAGGAAACAGTGATTGTGATACCGATGGAAGAGGGTGAGCCACTGGGAGCTGTTCCCAATGACAAACTTGTTATTGTCAAGGTGCAGCCGGGTACTCTTGCTGAAGGCAAATTGAAGGTCAATTTTCTGTTTTAGCATAAATTATTGGGTTCTCTGCCATTCGATTATAACAACAAAACAAAATCACTTTGAGGTCTACCAATTCGTGCTGATTTTTGGAGGTTTTTATGTTCTTGTGCCGATAGCTTTTGAGCTAACAATTGAAATCGACGATTAATTTTACAAAATTTAGGTAGGAGACCAAATACTGAAGGTAAATGATACGGTGGTGCGAGACTGCAACCATTTTTATCAGTTACTTCGCTTTGCGCCGCCCGTTGCCTCAATTAGTTTGATCCGTGATGAGAAGAAAGCAGCCGAATTGGAGGCCAAAGTGCACATACCGCCCGAACGTGCCAAGCTGATCGTACGCCGTGATGGATACACTTACTTTGTACGTTCGCACTGGATACTGTGATCAGTGATGCGTCCAGGAATTGAAACTAAAGATTGGAGCATTCCACATCTAGAATTAACTTCTGGAGCTCATCTTACTTTTTCCAAACTCTCAATTTGCTGCTTCTCCAGTGCTATTCAGTATTTTCAAGCTCAGTTCGATGCTGATGGAAGTCAAATAAGCCTTTTTTGCCATATCTCTTCTTTGTAGCTCTAGTTTCCTGTAGTGTGCACATGACCATATCTCAGAATAGGCCATAATATCTTCAATGAATTTCAGAAGAACCATTCTCTTTTGTGGCTACTCGCTGATGCTTATTTTCAGTTAGTACGCATTGACTGGAAGCCTGGAGGTATGAAGCTTGGTCTGGGCATCAAGCACTACCAGAACCGAGTGCTTGTGTCACGATGCGATCCGAATTCGCTTGCGGCACAGCATCTACTTGTTGGCGACCACCTTATTGACATCGATGGTAGGCCGGTCACGGATAAGGATGTATGCCGTGAGCTTCTTCTCAAGAGTCTCCAGGAACGCCATTATGTCACAATGGTTGTTGAGCGTCCCGAAACGTTGGAAGCCCGGCACTGGGTTCAAAATGCGCTGATCGCATCCGCAGCACAGACACCCTCAGTTCCGATGAACAGTGACGTACGTGAAATTGCTGCGCGTGAACGCGAAAGACTCAAAAAACCTACAGCGGTAAGCAGTTTTGGAATTTAAACTGACTGCCGATAAACGAAGTAAAATCCAAGGAGGCGTTGCCGTAGCAGATTGCTGAACTGACTTAGCAAAACCGTTCTTACAAATTTTCCTTCCATTATTTGTGAAGCAAAATTTCCATTCAGATAAATTTTAAATCCGAAGGATTTCAATTTTATGAGATAAAATCCCCTCGTTTTTTTGAGAAATCAAACTGCATCTTAAAAACGTATAATTTTAGCCGAAGAAAAGCTGCATGCGGAAATCAAATGCACCCGGGAAGATGGTGAATATTAACGAAAACAAAGCATCCGAATTTATTATTGCTAGCGATAACGAGGGCAAAGTACTCCGTCACGTACGACGCTGACGCCAGCCAGGATATCGAGCAACAGCGCCCACAACTTGTTTATCACCAATAAGCCGTGATTTTATAGACGCTCTGTTTTTCGACGTAAAAGAGCGATTTCTTTACCGTTTCTCATAATGTTTACTTGCTGCTTCTAAACTCAGAATGAAATCTGCACTGTATAAAGCAATATATCCAGACTTGTTCAACAGGAAAAAAAAACCACCGAACAGTAATCGACGCACATCGAGCATTCGGCTGTCATCCAGCGGCGTACGTCTTTTGCGTCATACTATGGCGTAACAATTCTTCTTACTTACGCCAATCAAAATAAAGCATGACGTATATCGGCGTACTGACCTGCTATGCCGAATTGGATAGATACTGGGCACCTGAGCCTAACCCGAGTTTGATTTCAGTGTGTCCTAACTAGGACTGAAATCCATTCAAAAACGGCCTGTGCACCGCTGCCTTGATGCGTATTGCCAGTAGTTATTTCAATTTTCCCTGGCGCGCAATGCCACTTATCCTCAATTTTCCAGAGGAAAATGGAGTGGTGCCATCAATTTGTTTATCATTGTCAAATGGCAATCGCTGCATTGTACATTTCAACAAAATTCTCTCATCTGAGGCTTATCCCAAAATATTTCCTCCTACAAGTGTTTTAACCTCAATGTTTAACAGTTTTTAATGCATGAATACTGATTTGCTTACATAAAACTAAAGGTATTAAAAAAGGCTGAAAGACTGCTTGTTTCCCGAGTGCCCTTATAGGGAGAATAGAGAGGAGCTCAGATGTTGCTTTGCAGACAAGATTTAAGGGCAAAGAAGGGAAAGGAGGATAAAAGTCAGAACATAGGCGGATTCAGGGGGTCCCCTGGGTGGAGGGGG